AATGGAAGAAACACAGCCTCTTCAACCGCTGGTGCTGGGAAAACTGGGCAGCCACATGCAGAAAACTAAAAGTGGACCCCAGCCTATCACCATGCACCAACATCAACTCAAAATGGATTAAAGACCTTAACATTAAACCTGAATCTCTGAAACTACTGCAGGACAGAGTAGGAGAGACACTTGAACTAATAGGCACAGGAAGGAACTTCCTGAACAGAGTCCCAGGGTCACAACAAGTTGGAGAGAGACTCGACAAATGGGACTACCTTAAAATAAAAAGCTTCTGCACAGCTAAATCTATCGCAACTAAGCTAGAAAGACAACCAACTAATTGGGAAAAAATATTTACCAGCAAAATATCAGACAAGGGGTTAACATCCTGTATATACAGGGAACTCAAGAAACTAATCCCTCCCAAACCTAACAAACCAATTACTAAATGGGCAAGGGAACTAAAGAGGGACTTCTCAAATGAAGAAATAAAAATGGCAAAGAAACACATGAGGAAATGTTCATCATCCCTGGTGGTGAAGGAAATGCAAATAAAGACAACCCTGAGATACCACCTTACCCCAGTCAGAATGTCCCACATCCACAAATCAGCCAACGACAAATGCTGGAGGGGATGTGGAGAAAGAGGAACCCTATTACACTGCTGGTGGGAATGTACACTTATACAACCACTTTGGAAAGCAGTCTGGAGGGTCCTTAGAAAGCTAAAGATTGACCTCCCTTACGACCCAGTCATACCACTTCTAGGCATCTACCCTGAACAACAGGAACCAATATACAAGGACACGTGCACCTCCATGTTTATTGCAGCACTGTTCGCAATAGCTAGGATATGGAAACAACCTAGGTGCCCCACCACAGATGAATGGATCCAAAAATTGTGGTATCTATACACAATGGAATATTATGCAGCCATTAGAAATGACAAAATAATGGCATTTGCAGGGAAATGGATGGAGCTAGAAGGAATCATGTTGAGCGAGGTAAGCCAAGAACGAAGAGACAAACGGTACATGGTCTCCCTCATAAGTGGATGCTAAATCCAAAAGGTTAGTGATACGACAAAACTAACAGGACTTAAGAAACAAAGAACTCCCGCTCATCTGGTTGAACCACTACTAAATATCCTCATGCTGCTGATCACAAATATGGTATATAACATGTGAACACTGTTATATATTACAGACTGTGGTAGACAATTTGCTCCAGGGAAGTTAGAATGAACTTGTGACTTTGAAATTATGTAATCATTTAATCACAATCAAAAAAAAAAAAAAAAAGAACCTCGGGGAAGGGAGGGAGGGAGGGGATGGTAGGGGGAAAACAATGGAGGGGGGTAACAATGTTCAAGAGGAAGTGTACTCATAACCTCACTCATGTAACTGTAACCCTCTGTATAGTAGCTTTACAATAAAAAAATAAAATAAAAAAAAAAAAAAAAAAAAAAAAAAAAAGAATCCCAAAGCACCAAACAGAGCTCACTAACAGGAAGATGGAAGAAGTTTATGGAAAAGCTCATTAATGAAGGGACCCCAGAACCCAGGGGTCACTCCCAGAGCCAAAGACTACTCTCACTGCTCCTCCACACCAGAAAAATAGAGGTTCATGACCTGGAATAAGCAAAATAAGAGACTCTTGAATTGTAAGCAATCAACAGAGGGCAAGAGGCCCAAGTAAAAACAGAGGGTTGAAAGCATTACTAAATGTTCTCCCCTCTGGCCTTCTACAACTTGAAGTCAGATTGCACACTCGAGGCATAACCAACCCTTTTGGTGACAGGTTTTCTTCAGCTACTATTTTTTTCCTCCTTTTTATTTTTTTCTTAATATATTATCCAAGCTAGTCTAACTTCAGTGCTCAAGGATCGTCCTGATTCACCTTCACAAATACTTAGGATTATAGGCACAATCTTGCCTGGCTTAGCTGTCCATCTGTTGAATTTCCAAGAGCTTTAGTAGCTAGGATGCAGTTAAGTAGCAGAGCACTTGCACAGCATGCAACTGGACCTGGGTTCCATTGCTAGCTAGCAGCTGTCCTCCAAATCCTGAAAGCTATTGCTCTTTGATTCTTCCTTTGATAAGAGTGTTCATATCTCTCTGAAGACCTTAACGTGCTGGGTTCCATCTGCAATGTCTATTTGCAATGAGCTGCCTGTTTTGGGATGCTGTTTTGTCTTTAGTGTTGTAGGCCTTCCTCAAATGTTTGCTGATCAGTAGTCACCTGCTCAATTCTGAAGTGGGGGACACTAGGAAACTAACTATAGTAGTCAGTCTCTAGACCCAAAAATTTCTGAGGAACAGACACCAGGAAACTCTACATTCAAAAGCTACATCCTTGGGGCTTCCAATCAGCTTTTCCAAATTACTAGTGTCCAAAAATAAAGTCCTAGCCAGGTGTCGGTAGTACATATCTGTAATCCTAGCTACTCAGAGGCTGAGATCTGAGGATCATGATTTAAAGCCAGCTAAGACAAGAAAGACTGAGACTTTTTTGTTTTGTTTTGTGGGGCTTAAACTCTGGGCCCATGCATTGTCCCTGAGCCCTTCAGCTCGAGGCACATGTTCTATCACTTGAGCCACAGCACCACTTCCAGCTTCTTATGCTTATGTAGTACTGAAGAATCGAACCCAGGGCCTCAAGCATGCAAGGCAAGCACTCTGCCACTGAGCCACCTTCTCAGCCCATCTGTGAAACTCTTATCTCCAAAAAAGCCAGAAACGGTGCCATGGCTCAAAGTGGTAGAACACTAACCTTGAACACCAAAGCTCAGGGACAATGCCCAAGACCTGAGTTCAAGCCCCAGGACAGGCATCCAAAAAAGGAGGGGGATGCCCTACATGATTCTAGAAAGAAAAAAACATCTCATACAAAAGTTTTAGACTTCTCAAAAGCCATAGTGAAAATAATAATTCTAATGAACCAGGTATTCAAATTTCTAAAGGACTTGCCACTTAAAGAGTTGTATACCCAGCCCTAGCATAAAAATTAATAAAGTAGAAAACTGATGTCAACTGTTGCATGCAACAATTCTCACAAAGGCTATGTTGCACTAAAAAAAGAGAGTAGGCTGGGAAGGTGGCTCAGTGGTAGAGCACTTGCTTTGCATGCATGAGTCCCTGGGTTCAATTCCACAGCACCACATAAGCAGAAAAAGCCAAAAGTGGTGCTGTGACTCAAGTGCCAAAGTGCTAGCCTTGAGCTGAAGAGCAGAGGGACAGCACCCAGGCCCAGAGTTCAGGCCCCACAACCAACAAAAATAAATAAGTAAATAAATGAGAGCAAACAAAAAACAAAACATATGTAATCCAAGAAATGAGCGTAAAGACAAGCTAAAATGCATGGTTTATACTAGAGCAACCAGTCCAAATCACAATAAGTAAAAATTAGACAAAATAGTAACATAAAATATGGGTAAGCTGGGGTTTGCGGCAAGGTTCAGGTGGTAGAGCACTAGCCAATGAGTGAAGCATCAGTTACCAAGTTTGAGTCCCAGTCACAGATCAAAAAAGATAATAAGCATAGTGATGTATACTATAACCTCAACACTCAGATTAGTGAGAGGCAGTAAAACCATGATTTTGAGGATAGCCTGTAAAGTAAGACTGTTACTTTTCTTTAAAAAAAAAAAAAAACAGGGCTGGGAAGGTGGCTCAGTGGTAGAGCGCTTGCCTTATATGCCTGAGGCCCTAGGTTCGATTCCTTAGCACCACATAAGCAAAAAGAAAAAAGCCAGAAGTGGTGCTGTGGCTCAAGTGGTAGAGCACTAGCCTTGAGCTGAAGAGCTGAGGGACAGTGCCCAGGCCCAGAGTTCAGGCCCCACAACCGGACCAAAAAAATAAATAAATAAAAATAAAAAAAAAACAACAAACAGATGGGAAAAATGGAACAGGTGATCAGTGAGCAGTGAGCAACACTGAGGGAAATCAAACTGCATTCTCACAATAGAATAATAATATGTAATAACAGAATAAATATAAATAAAACTAAAAATGCCAACTTAAGGATGTTAGAAGTCTGAAAAAAAATTGTTAAGTACTAGCTAAGACTTGCAAGTAGATACAATGGGGTGAGACATGTTAGGGATGCCATTTTGCTAAACAACATGGTAGCGCCATTTGATTATTTCAATTATATTCGTATTCAGTTTTGATTACAAATTAAATATAAAGCTAAGTGCCAGTGACTCATGCCTGTATTCCTATTCCTAGCTTCTGAAGAGGCTAAGAACTGAAGATTGTCGTTCAATGCCTGCCCAGGCAGACAAATCAGATTTCAGATCTTCACGCACAGAGATTAGTATCCAGAATATATAAAGAACTCAAAATATAAAACACCAAAATAACAGATAATTCAAATAACAAACAAGCAAATAAACTAAATAGATGCTTTTCAAATGAAGAAGTATAATCTTTAGCTGGGCACCAGTGACTCCTGTGTATAATCCTGGCTAATCTTTAGCTGGGCACCAGTGGCTCATGTGTATAAACCTGGCTACTCAGGAGGCTGAGATCTAAGGATCACAATTCAAAGTCAGCCTGGGTAAGAAAGCTTGTGCAACTCTTATCTCCAATTAACCACTAAATAGCCAGAAATGGAGCTGTGGCTCCAGTGGTATGGTGCCAGCCTGGGTAAAAAAGCTCAAGGGCAGTGCCCAGACCTGCATTCAAGCCCCAGTTCTGACACACACACACACACACACACACACACACACACACACACACACACACACACACACACACACACACACACACACACACACACACACACACACACACACACACACACACACACACACACACCAGGAATAAACAACTATCACCAACTCTGATAAAAAGAGACTACTATTATTAAACACTATTGATTAAATCCAGATTTAATGTTTTAAATAGAGTAGTGCATGCCTGTAATGCCAGAAATCTAGAGAGTGAAGCAGGAGGATCAGTAATTTAAAAAACAAAAAGACACAGAGTAGAAAGTTCCATCAATACCTTCTGATTCTCTTCCACTTCAGTTCGCAGCTCTGAGCTTACACCTGTTTTTGTTATGGCTCTAAGGGGAAAAAATATGATTAGTATTCAGTCTAGCATTTGAAATGACTTCAATTTAATACCTATTGTTTATATGTGTATGTGTGTGCCAATCTTGGGGCTTGAACTCAGGGCATGGATGCCATCCTTAAACTTTTTTGCTCAAGGCTAGCATTCTACCAGTTGAAGCACAGCTCCACTTTAAATTTTTTTATAATTAATTGGAAATAGAATCTCACAAACTTTTGCTGTGCTGGCTGGCTTCAAACCACAATTTTCAGATCTCTGCCTCCTGAGTTGCTAGGATCAATTGCCACCAGTGCCTGGCAATTTACCTACTTTTAAGTATAAAGCATATTGTTTAACAAATTATAAAAACCAAGTAGAAAAAAAGAACGAACAAAATCTCAACCCTAGGGCTGAGAAGGTGGCTAAGTGGTAGAGTACTTGCCTTGCATGCATGAGGCCCTGGGTTCAAAGCAGAAAAAGCTGGAAGTGGCGCTGTGGCTCAAGTGGTAGAGCACTAGCCTTGAGCTGAAGAGCTGAGAGATAGTGCCCAAGCCCACAGTTCAGGTCCCACAAATGATAGAAAAAAAATCTAAACCCTATTTATATGTCTGATCTCTCATATGTGCCTATTTTTCATTACTATAAGATATAACACCAACAAAACACAGTTTATAGTATTTTAAAGCAAATGTAGTTGCTTCCAAGTTCTTAGTTGTAAGAACTAAGAACTAGAAAGTAATGCAACTGGGCATCTGTAGCTCACATCAGTTATCCTACCTACATAGGAGGCTGAGGTTTGAGAATCATGGTTCAAAGCCACCCTGGTCAAAAAAGTCAATGAGACTATTTAATCTCCAATTAACCAGCAAAAACCAGAAGTAGAGCTGTGGCTCAACTGGTAGAGCAATAACATTAAGGGAAAAAGCCAAACAAGAGTGAGAGGCACTAAGTTCAAGTCGCAACACTAGCACCAGATAAAATAAAAAATGGCAATAATAAATAAACTAAAGTAGCAGACTTTTCATACTTTTTAAGCTCGGCAGTTAGGAGAAACCCTCTGCATATCTTTAAGTGGCGTGATAAACTAAAAACTTTTAGGACTTCAGCAAATACCCCACATCAGAAGTCAAAATACTTTATTCAGTTACTCAAAGAAGACTAGCAATAGTCAGGCACCAGTGGCTGTAATCCTGTAATCCTACCTGCTTTAGAGGCTGAGATCTGAGGATTGAGGTTTGAAGCTAGCTCAGGCAGGAAAGTTCATGAAACACTTATCTCCAATAAACTACTCAAAAAACCTGGAAGTGGCACTTTGCCTTATGTGGTGAATGTTGCCCCTGAGCTTAGCTTAGGGACAGCGGCCAGGTCCAGAGTTCAAACCCAAGGGCCATTAAAAAAAAAAAAAAAAGACTAGCAATGACATGTTACAAGTTTGTAAAATTTGACAAAACAATTTTCCCCTCTGTACAGTATTTTCACAATAAAAAATTTTTTTGCCTGGAATTTATTAGATATAGTACAACATTAGAGAAAGCAATGTCTGAAAACTCAAGATCTTTTTCTGACTATGTACAAGTCATTTAGCTTCTCTGACTTGGTTATCTTCATCAGGATTCAATAAGATGATTGGCAAACAATACTTCAGGGGTCTATGTTTATGCCAGACTCTAAATTAGTTACAGTGGCATATGCTGTTGTAATTCATCCAATCCTAATTCAGGTCCTATTATTCCCACTCTGCTGAGGAAGCTGAAATAAACAGATGCAATTTATTTGCAATTTCTTTACAAATGGTAAGTGGCAAGGCCAAGAGTGTCACGTACAGCTGTCCCTTCAACCAAAATTTAATTCTTGCTCTCTTGTTAGAAATAGGGTGCTGGTCACAATAGTGATAATGAATAGAGAATGTTCATTCTCTAACAATTCTCATACTTTTAGTATAGCATTTGGCATGTAAATGTGAAGGTAATGGAATAAAATATTAAGAAGAACATTTCAAAGCCTTAATGTTTATTACCTGGCTTTGGTAGGAAAGTTCTGACTAAGATCCTTCATAACCACTAATGCTAACTCCACAGGAGCAGCCAAGATTCGGGCAGCAGTCTGGAAACTGAGATCTAGAACAAGACCAAGAGTAAGTTAGAGAGTATGACTCCAACGCATTGAGATGCAGGAAAAAAATGTATTTATATTCTACTATTTTCTTAGTTATAAAGATGCCTTGTAATGCAACCATTCCAAAGAATGCCGATGGTATAGTTTCACATTTCAATCATTTCATGGATCACTGGTGCTGGGGACACATACTAACATATTTAACAAGAGCTAACTTGAGCACAAATCTTTTTATTTCTTTTGGATTTACAATATACTGAAAACTACAGCATGAGATATTTAGCAAATTATGTTGGAAAAAAGCTTGACAAATCATTTTTTGGAAAAGTATACATACATACTTGTACATTTTTACCCCTTACATACATGCCTCAATCTTCAAGATAAATAGTGTAGTGCTGGTGGTATAAAGACTGGGCGTTGGCCCATGGCTGTAATCCTAGCTCCTCAAGAGGCTGAGATCTGAGGATCATAGTAAGAAAGGCTATGAGACTCCTATCTCCAATTAATTACAAAAAAAGCTGGAAGTGGAGGTGTGGCTCAAATGATAGTGTTAGCCTTGAGCACAATAGCCAGGGACAGTACCCAAGCCCTGAATTGAAGCCCAAGGACCAAAAAAACAAGTAATAAAAATTTAAATCTTAAAAATTAAAGAAAAATACACACCTATTAAAACATAAAGACTAGACACATTTCTAATATTATATAATTCTAAACTGATTTTCTGCATACCTAAAAATTTATTTAAAATAATAGGCAAAGATTTCTGAATTTCTAGTACCTTGCAATTGCCAAACTTTCAAAGGTGCCATTTCGTTGGTGCTTTCCACAAGATGCTTTCTAAGTTCTTTCAACTGTTCGTTCAAGCTAGGATGCAGGTCCCTGACAGAGACACAAAGCCATTGTCTTTATTCCTTGTCATTGTCTTTTCTCAGAACACACTTACAAGAGGGTGCCAACTTATTCTGCATGATTTTCCCATCCCAACCATAAGAATATTTCCTCAATCCAGACAATTTTGTCTGTATAAAGTATAATTATTTTCTTTGAAAATTAAGTTAAGGTTGAAGGTGTATTTCAGTAGCATAGTGCCTTTCTAGCAAGCAGGCGGTCCTGAGTTTAAACCCTAATACTGCCAGGAAAAAAAGACTGTTAGTTCAGTGGCTGGAGTCATGGCTCATTTGTTAAGTGTACTAGCCAATGAGCAAAAGCATCAGGTGATCAGGTGCCAAGTTCAAGTCCTGGTCTCAGACCAAAAAAATAAATAATTAATTTAAAAAATAAATATATATATATTTAGTTCAAAAACTAAATTTTATACACTAAAAGATAAATCATACAACAATGATTCCCCACATATACAAGATAATTACGATTCACCCAAGTTCACCTATGATTATTGTAAGACCTTGTCTCAAAAGAAAAATGACAAATCACTATACCAGTGATTCTCTACTTGTGGTGAGGGAACAACCAATGACAATAACAAGGCAGAATGGGTAATGTGGACTTCAACTTTACCTACTGACCTGTTTTATTGACCTGTTCTGCTTTTAAGTTGAAAAAAACAAAACTTATGTTGGGAAAAGCAAAAGTAAACTTGATAATTCTTTGGAATGCAAAAGCAAGTATACAACAATCTGTTCTGGGTAGTGAATATTTGTATATTTTCTGTAGCTTTCCTAATCTTTTTAATTTTTCAAACTAAAGGTGGAAAAAGAAAATTGCTACCAGCCACAAGATAACTTATTTCACCTCAAATTCTCATAAATTTCTTAGGTTAGATTAGTATAATTCAAACTAACAATTACAAGGTATTATCTTGTAATACAGTACAATCCACTTATAGCTAATAAAGTAAGTATCAAAGAGATAACATTTTGATCCAAGAGGTAGATAACAAGAGTTTAACTTAAATGCTAGAAACTTAAAATTTCTTAAATCCAACATGCAGGAATTAAATACCCACTCAAATCCTTCATGTTCCAATCTACTTCCAATCAACTATTAAATTACTCATAATAAAAATCTCAAAAATGGTCAAATTACTCTAGATAGCTAAATTACTACTACAGATAAAACATCTTCAATACATGATATTGAATACGGGGGGGGGGGGGGGGGGGAGGATGGGAAGGGGAAACAAAGGAGTAGGGTACAATGCTTGATAAGAAATGTACTCATTTTCTTGTCCATGTAATTGTAACCCCTCTGTACAATATTTTCACAATAAATTTTTTAAAAAATCAAAAATAAATAAAATAAAATAAAAAACAAAAAAATGACATAAAAAGGGATTCTCAAAAGCTAGGGCAACTAAAAATGGTATATTTACATACTGAAACTAAAACTGACTATAAATAAGAACTGTACATAAATATAGGATTAACTCTATATGTCAACAGTAATTCAACTTGAAAGTAAAACATCAGTACTTAAATTATTAATTTGGTTCATTATTAAGCTGGTTAGCCAAATATCAAAGCTAAGTCTAGATAAGCAATTCTTATATAATTTTTTTCTATTAGGAACAAAAGCCAGATAATAAGGGCCCATGCCTATAATCCTACCTACTCAGGAAGCTGAAATCTAGAAGACTGTAGTTCAAGGTCAGAAGAAAACTTCACTAAATTGCATCTCCAAAATACCTAATACATAGTTCAAGTAGTAGATTGCTTGCTTTGCAAGCAAAAAGCTCTGACTTCAAATCCAGGTACCACATTAATAATAATTATAATCATAATCACACTAGATGTTCTAACTGAAATTTCAAAATAAAGTAGAATTCAGTACTCTCAATCACCAAGCCATGGTAGAAATAACTTCAACATTTAAAATAATTTTTCTGTCCTAAAATACCATGATACTTTCATAAAATGGTTACAGAATTACAAAACTTCTAAAACTCAATCATTAAAACATTTCTCAGTCAGATGCTGGTGGCTCACATCTATAATCCTAGCTACTCAGTAGACTGAGGTCTGAGGATCACAGTTTGAATCCAGCCTGACTAGACAAATCCATGAGACTCTTACCTACCAGTAACTAGTAAAAAACCATAAGTAGAGCTGTGAATCAAGTGGTAAAGTGCTTGCCTTAAGTGAAAAACCCAAGTCAGAATGTGAAGCTCCTTTTCTTTATTTTATTTTTTTTCTGCTTATGTGGTGCTGAGGAATCGAACCCAGGGCCTCATGCATGCTAGGCAAGCACTCTACCACTAAGCCACCTTCCCAGTCCCCTTTTTTTTTTAAATTTTTATTTTAATTAATTTATTTTTTTGTCAGTCATGGAGCTTGAACTCAGGACCTGGGTGTTGTCCCTGAGTTTTTTTGCTCAACGATAGTGCTCTATCACAGCTCCATTTCCAGTTGTCTCACAGTTAATTGGAGGTAAGAGTTTAACAGACTTTCCTGCTCCAGTGGGCTTCAAAGCATGATCCTAAGATCTCAGCCTCTTGAACAGCTAGGATTACAGGCATGAGCCATGAGTGCCTGACTCTTCTTTTTTTAAAGGCAGTCATGGTATTCGGTATACACGATGTGGAAATGAACAATGCAACTTGTGGGCAAGGACAGGAGGGTGAAACTGGGGGAAAGCAAAGGAAGGAGTGATATGTGAAAGAATTATGTTCATTGCCCAACTTAGGAAATTATAAGCTCTCTTTATAACACCTTAATAATAACAATAAAATTACATTTTAAAATAAAACTTAAAAAAAGTAAAAACAAACAAAAAAAGATGTACTTGTAAATAACTGGAAATTACAAATTTTATCAAGCACCATTAGATCTGTAAGTCAGACAATAATGAGAAAGATGATATTGGGAATGCAAGTAAGCCTTGAATTTTAAAGAGAATAAAGAATATTTCCTAAGATAAATTACATACATACCTTAATTTTCCAAAGAGGAATCCCTGAACTTCATCAATAGGATCATTTTCACCAATTACCGTGGTATTCACTTCAGTTCCTATACATACATAATAAATACATATTTAATGGCTTAGATAAAGAAACAAAAGTGTTATTACCCCATAAAATCTGAATATAGTAGAGAATGTCAGAAGCACCTGAGATTGTAATTCCACTTAACATGTTAATATCCTAATTGACATTTTTCAATAGGTCTTTAAACAGAATAAACATGTTTTAGCACTTCCAATTTTCCCTTATATATAAGAAAATTTTCCATACTACAAATTTCAACATTAATAGCTTTAAATATCATTAACAAACAATTTCTCAAAGTAAAAATTCTGAAAGATTTACAATTAGGCAACTTAATTCTAAATATAATTGAAAAAACAAAATGATGGCCGGGCTCCGGTGGCTCACTCCTATAATCCTAGCTACTCAGGAGGCTGAGATCTGAGGATCATGGTTCAAAGCCAGCCCGGGCAGGAAACTCCATGAAACTCTTATCTCCAATAAACCACTAGAAAACCGGAAGTGGCACTCTGGCTCAAGCAGTAGAGCTGAAGAGCTGAGGGATAGCGCCCAAGCCCAGAGTTCAAGCCTCACAACCGACAAAAAAAAAAAAAAAAAGATGAGATATAGTTTATTTTTCATTGGCTTTACTATACATGCTGATCATTTTTATAGTTAAAATAAGATTAAAAGGATGAAATATGGGGGTTGAAGGCATAGCTCAGGTGGTAGACTGCCAGCCAATGAGCAAAGTGTCAAATACCAATTTCAAGTCCCACTCTCGGGGGGACAAAAGAAAGAAAGAAAGAAAGAGAGAGGGAGGGAGGGAGGGAGGGAGGGAGGGAGGGAGGGAGGGAGGGAGAAAGAAAGAGAAAGAGAAAGAGAGAGAGAGAGAGAGGGAGGGAGGGAGGGAGGGAAGGAGGGAGGGAAGGAAGGAAGGAAGGAAGGAAGGAAGGAAGGAAGGAAGGAAGGAAGGGAGGAAGGAAGGAAGGAAGGGAGACAGCATATACTTGTGGTTAAAATAATGAATTCAAACCCCTACAATATTACAACTAATGCAGGATATGAAACTGCTCTTTATAAGGTAAGATTTTTCACATTAGAAGCACAAATATCATTGGTCTATTGGCAACCCATATAATAACAACAATACTACTTACTAAATGTTTTTGTGAAATAAACAATAATAAATTTGTTTTGGTAAAAGTAGGGTTTGAACTTAGGACCTTGTGCTTGCAGAGCAGGTACTCTATACTGAGCCACAACTCCAGCCTTATTTTTTTTTCTATTTATTTTTTAAGATAGGGTCTCTCTTCCTGTGTGAATGCACAGCTTTACCAGGGTCTGCTATTCTAGGCATCTCATTGTTGTAGAGATGATGGGCAAATGCTACCACATCCAGCTTCCATCTGTTGAGGTAGAGTCTTGAGACTTCTCTGTATGGGCATCTTGGAACATAGATCTTTCCATTATCAGCCTCCCATATGTTTTTGGAAGACAGACATATACCACTTCATGAACTCATCCGCCTGAGCTGTCCTCCAGCTTCAATTTTCCCATTTCCCACCTCCCAAGTAGATAGGATTACAGGCATTAGAGCTAGAACTGTTGCCTGGCAACAGTTCTATTCTTTTGCATTTTTGCTGTTGATGCTATTTATTTTGTTTTTATTTATTGAGATTAAGTGATTACATAAATTTCGCATATTTCACAGTACTGTGGAATAGTGATAGTTAAAGTCACAAACACATTTTCATTATGCCTTCAACTCGTCATCTTCTTGTCTCTTCTTCCAAAGTAGTAAGATAACAGGCATGCGCCACCATACCCAGGTAAATTCTTTACTTATATATCTTTTCCCAAATACTTGGAGAATTTATCATTACCAATATATCATTACCTGAATTTTACAAAGAGTAAATTTAGACCTAGCAAGTTTGTTGAAAATCTCTCACCTAAACATAACAGAACCAGGATTCAAAGATTGGTTCATCATATACCTAAATATTTTCTTTTTCATCATGGAAACAGATTACATGTTAACTCATATTTAAAGAAAACACATTCATCTTATTTTTACAAATTCACCTTTCACCTGAGTATCATCCTTGGCCTTGTATTCGGTGCTCTTAATGGCCAGTTCCACACCATAGCCAGAGAGGTAAACTGGTTCCTTCTTGGGATTCTGCAAATATAGCAAGTATTATATAATAAGTTGAGTTATAGAGGACTCAATGAAAGTAACAGGGCATTCAATACAACCTGAACATTACATATAGCAGCCATCACCAAGTATTGTACACTCAAAATATCTTTATCTCCTTGTGTTCAAGATCGTTCACTATCAAAAGAAATTATTTGCTACCTACTATTAAAATTTATTAATAAAAAAATTCAACTCCAAGTTTACTCTCTCTGAAAATTCTAGTTTTTCACTACAGTTGACATCAGGAATCAGTAAAAATGGAAGGCTGAAAGGGCAAAGTTTCCAAGCCACATGAGGAAATGAAGAAAAATAATTTTGGGGGGGAGTAGTGAGGGGATAAGGTTGGTTATAGGTCTTGAACTCTGGGCCTGGGTGCTGTCCCTGAGCTCTTCAGCTCAAGGTTAGTGCTCTACTACTTGAACCACAGCAACACTTTTCTGGTGGTTAACTGGAGACAAGAATCACATGGACATTCCTGACTGGGCTGGCTTTGAACCTCAATCTTCAGATCTCAGCCTCCTGAGTAGATAGGATTACAGGCGTGAGCTACCAGCACCCTGCAAGGAAAATAATTTCTAAAACCTAAAGAGCAGAGTTGAAAAGCGGTGAGGTGTCAGACCATAAAGTGCTTTCTTGGGACCAAGTGAGCACCTGTATTTTAACTACAAAGCTTCAAGAAGCCTTGACATGGCCATCACCATGCTGGCTGACAACAGCTTGTTACACGTTTTAATCCAACAACAGGCCTGGCAGACATAGGAGGAGTAGGAGTTGTAAGACTCTGACTTTAATGAACCTGTTTCTGCTCAATCAAATTATCATTTAAAAATTTTATTGTACTTTCCACTCAGTATTTACTAAATTTATTGTGCCACACAAACTTTTTTTTTTTTTGGGGTCCAGTCGTGGGGCCTGAACTCTGGGCCTGGGCGCTGTCCTTCAGCTCTTCAGCTCAAGGCTAGCGCTCTACCACTTGAGCTACAGCGCCATTTCCGGCTTTTTTCTTTTTGCATATGTGGTGCTGAGGAATCGAACCCAGGGCCTCATGCATGCAAGGCAAGCGCTCTACCACTGAGCCACCTTCCCAGCCCAAACTTTTTATTTTTTAATTTGGTTGATTTTTTTTTTTGCCAGTCCTGGGACCTGCATGCTATCCCTGAGCTCTTTTGCTCAAGGGTAGAGCTCTACTACTTTGAGCCTTGGCTCCACTTCTGGTTTTTAAGTGGTTAATAGGAGATAAGAGTCTCATGGGGTCTTTTCTGCCTAGGATGACTTTGAACTGCAGTCCTCAGATCACAACTTTCTATGCAGCAGGATTAAAGACATGAGCCACCTGCACCCTGCTGCTTTTTGTTTTTTTGTAGTTTAGCAGCAATAAGAGACTCACGGCTAGCCAGGCACCAGTGGCTCACCCTTATAATCCTAGCTACTCAGGAGGCTGAGATCTGAGGATCATAGTTTGAGGACAATGTAGGCAGAAAAGTCCATGAGACTCTTTATCTCCAATAAACCACTAGAAAACTGGAAGTGGCACTGTGGCTCAAGAGATAGAGTGCTTGCCTTGAGCTGAAGAGCGTAGGGACAGCACCCAAGCCCAGAGTTCAAGCCCCACGACCAACCAAAAAAAAAAGAAAAAAAAAAAAGAAAGATCTGATGAGAAATACTAGATTTCTCACAAAAGCAGTTCAAATAATTAAAATTACTTAGTAAATGGGTTGGGAAGGTGGCTCAGTGGTGAGTGTTTGCCTCGCATACATGAGGCCCTGGGTTCAATTCCACAGTACCACATAAGCAGAAAAAGCCATTAGTGGTGCTGTGGTTCAAGTGGTAGAGTGCTAGCCTTGAGCTGAAGAGCTGAGGGACAGTGCCCAGGCCCAGAGTTCAGGCCCCATGACCGGACCCCCCCCCAAAAAAAAAAATTAGTAAAAAGGGAAATTATAGTTTATGTACTAAGATTGTGCTGTATAAATTAATATTCTAAACAGTGGCAAAATAAGTCAGTACTTACAGATATATAATGTCTGAAGACATAATTAATTTTGCCTTCATTGCTTTTTGATATAAGTTGTTGGTGGTAATTAGAAAATTCTCCATGGCCAATCTCAGAGTAGAAAATCACTATAGGGCTCTCAAGATTAGATGAGGGGTATCTGTGATCTCCTTTGAAGAGTAAAGGTTTGGGTCTGAAAATAAAATAAATATTAAAAGATTAACATTTTCAATCTACAAAAATATTTGAACACTAAGAACCAAAATAAAATATTAAGTACAGCTAACATAAGTGAAGATTTATAAGCATCAAAATATAAAGGGTATCATAGTCTTTTTATATAGTGTTCACTTAGAATATTGTTTGGTGTGACTCTTGTACATGATTACAAAAAATAAAACTGCATTACATAAATACTAACTATAAAATGCAGACTTTGATGAATAATTTTTTACCAATTTCTAGGGGGAAAAAGCTAAAAAAAAAAAAAAAAACAGCAGCAGCTGGGCACCAGTGGCTCACAACTGTAATCCTAGCTACTCAGGAGGTTGAGATCTTTGGATCACAGTTCAAAGCCAGCCCAGTCAGGAAAAGTCCATGAGACTCTTATCTCCAATAAACCACTCAGAAAACCATAAGTGACACTGTGGCTCAAGTGGTAGAGCACTAGCCTTGAGCTGAAAAGCTGAGGGACAGTGCCCAGGCCCAGAATCTAAGTCCCATGACCTACAAAGAAAAGAAAAGAAAAGAAGAGAAGAAGAGAAGAGAAGTGAAGCAAAGCGAAGCGAAGAGAAGCGAAGAGAAGAGAAGCGAAGAGAAGAGAAGCGAAGAGAAGAGAAGAGAAGAGAAGAGAAGCGAAGCGAAGAGAAAAGAGGGGAGAAAAGGGGAGGGAAGGGGAGGGGAGGGGAGGGGAGGGGAGGGGAGGGGAGGGAAGGGAAGGGGAGGGGAGGGGAGGGGAGGGGAGGGGAGGATCAGAAAAGAAGAAAAAAAGGAAAGAAAAGAAAAGAAAAGTACACTATAGCTTGAATACTGTGAAACTTGGATATGTATTCTTTTTTTTTTTTTCTTTTTTGAGGCCAGTCGTGGGGTTTGAACTCTGGGCCTGAGCACTGTCCCTCAGCTCTTCACCTCAAGGCTAACACTCTACCACTTGAGCCACAGCACTACTTCCAGTTTTCTGGTGGTTTATAGGAGATAACAGTCTCATAGGCTTTCCTGCTCCGGCTAGCTTTGAACTGTGATCCTCAAATCTCAGCCTCCTGAGTAGCTAGGATTACAGGCATGAGCCACCAGCACCCAGTTTATCATATAGTTTTCTACCATATAAAGCATGATTGTCCCTTTATCTGAACACAAAAGCACAAATGATACATTGACCTTGACCATATAATTTGCCAATATCAGCCTTCTCAGCCATTTTTTAATATCATGATCATCCTAATCATTGAATATTTCAGATTTTAAACCTTCCCCCAAGTTTTTGCTAAGGGTCACATTTAATATCAAGATATTAAAAAGATTATGGATTTTTTTGGTACTGAAGCTTGAACTCAGGGCCTCATGCTTGCTAGGCATGCACTCTAATGCAGCCAAACCTTTTTTGCTTCAGTAATTTATCAGGCCAGAACAGGACCTACCTCTGCCTCCCAGTAACTAGGATTATAAATGAACACTACCATAACTGGATTGTTGGTTGAGATGGGGGTCTTTTTAAACAATTTTTCATGGGCTGCCTTGAACCACAATCCTCCCAAGTTGCTCAAATTATAGGCCTGTACAACCATGTATGGCTGAGATATTGATAATCTTAGTGTATAACTTACCAATCCTTACTATAACAACAGGCAAAGACATGAATAAAGATGTTCATTTGAATTTTATTATAGTAGCAAAAAGTAAAAATGACTTTAAAAAGTAAAACATTCCTACATAGATTATGCATGTGCTAAAAATACTGAGGTACACTCATATGTGCTACATAGATGCAAAACAAACCTACCAAAAAAGACAAAAAAAAAACCCCTACCTACTTGTACAAATTTAAATCCATAAAAAATGTAACAGAATAAATGGCAAACTACTAAAAGTAGTTACCACCTCTCCTAAAAGGAGGTTGTCATCATTCATTTCTTTATAAAGGTCTACATTATATTTTCAACAAATTAAACCAAAGTTTTTAAAGAATTAGCAAGCCACCAATTGTGTTTCCCCTTTATAAACAGCCATTTTCAAATGTTCATAACCTAATTCCTGAGTGTGCATAGTGTTTATTTATTATAAAAACAAATAACATGTGGTGGATAAAGAATAAGTGTTAAACAACATTCCTAAGGAAGACTCAGAGCTGGGTGTTTGTGGCTCATGCCTGTTTCCCAGCCATTCTGGAGATGAATAAGAAATACCATGGTTTGAGGCCAACCTAGGCAGAGAAATTCACAAGAGTCCTTCTCAACCAAAAGCTGAGCACTATAGCCTATCATCCTAGCTAAGTAGGAGGGAGGCTGAGAAAAGGAGGAACACAATTCTTTATCAGCCAAGGCAGAAAAAGCCCAATGCATGAGGTAACATTTTATTGGAAGAAGGTGAAAATGGTGGTATGCATCTGTCACACTAGCTTCAATGGGAAGTGAAAAACAAGACAACAGTTCAGGCACACACCCAGGTACAAAATGAAGACCTTCTTTCAAAAATAAGCAGGAAAATAAATACAAGTTCTGATGGCTCAAATTTATAATTCTAGCTACTCAGGAGGCTGAGATAGGAGGGTCATAGTTCAAATTCACACTGGGCAAGACTCCATCTCCAACTAACCAACAAAATGCTGGACTAGAACCATAACTCAAGTGGTAGAGCTCCAGCTATGAGCAAGAAAGCCAAGCAAGAGTTCAGAGCAAGACAGAGTGAGACAGAGACAAAGAAACTGAGAAAGAAAAACAGAGAAACAAAGTCAATAATAATAACAGTAGGTAAAAAAAAGGGGTGGAAGCATGGCTCAGCAGTAAAATACCTGCCCAGCAAGTGTGAGATCCTGAGTTCAAAACCTAGTACTACCCCAAAAAAGGAAACAATTTATAACACCAAAATAGCCACTAGTACTTAAAGCAGCATAAGAGGAGGTATAGAGAAGTTGCTACTGTAGCCAGATAGCAAAATAGATATGATAGCTAGCTATCCAATTCAGAAAACCTAAACCTAAATCTAAACCTCTTCAAGCAAAAAATGCATGCATGAATTCATTAACAATTCAATAATAGTGATGATGATGAAATAATAATGGAAAGATAATTATAACAATCTTTCAATATTTTCATTTATCTGTAACTAGTAAGTTATCATTAAATGAGTACTTAGGCACTAGCTATCATACACACAGCTGTCCTACTAAACTAATAACAAAGTTTATTTAATCTCTCAGATATAGTTATTCACAGGAATATTAATACTCTTATTATTTCCATCTTGAAATAAAAAGAAGGAATGACTTCAAAAAACTATTTTAAGAGATGGGCCAAGATTCATATCTAGTTCTCTTGGGTTCAGAATCAATAATCTAAACTTATACCTACAGACTTACAAAATACTTAAGAAAAACTAGAAAGTAAGCTTAGCATGAAAAAAACACAAGGATCTGACGATCTTCTAGCAAAAGCTTTTACGTTGCCAAAAAACAGCACAAGTAACGAAATAAATGACATTTAATGAAGAAACATATGTACAACTTACCTTTCAGATGCTGTTAGTAGAAGAGTTTCTAGATTATCAAAATCACAAGTCTTCTTTCCATGAACTGAAAAAAATGAATTGCATCCTTCTGGCGGAGGTTCATCAGCGGCTATCTGACACATAAGACACAGCATGTATTTTTATTATTTATTATTTATTTTTATTATTTGTAGCTGAAGATGGTATAGAACATCCCTTCTAGACATGTGATTAGACACTGCAATTAGGACACTACCTACAAAGGCAAAAACTAACATCTGCCCAACACCCACCATGAGTCAAGCAAAGTCAGACCTTTGCAGACAGTGCTCTCCTTGATGATAGTTCCCAGTTCCTCCTGCCTCACTAAGAGGAAGGTGCTAATGTTATCACCCAACAGAACATTAATATGTCACCTCAGAAGGCTATCAAAAGGCATATAAAAAATACAAGGTATATTTTCTAATATAGGATCTACCAATTTTAGTACCAAAGTATACATATGCTATCCTTTTAAAAAGAAATATGAAATTGAAATGAGGTCCCTCATTCAAAGAGGAAGAATTATATACAATCTAGAACATAAACCCCACTTGCCTATAATCCCAGCATGCAAGAGATGCTGAGATTATAGGTTCAAGGCCAGCCTGGGCTAGATAATCAGACCTGGTGGTCTCAGAAAAATAAAAAACAAAATAATAATTTTTACGTGAAAGTTTAAAAATAACTGAGCCAAATTAAGAAAAAAATAAATAATGAAAAGTAATTATATATGGTACACAGTAAAATACTCAAGAGAGCTGGGCGCTGGTGGCTCACGCCTATAATCCTAGCTACTCAGAAGGTTGAGATCTGAGGATCATGGTTTAAAGCCAGCCCAGGCACGAAGTCCGTGAGACTCTTTTTTTTTTTTTTTTGTCGGTCGTGGGGCTTGAACTCTGGGCCTGGGCGCTGTCCCTCAGCTCTTCAGCTCAAGGCAAGCGCTCTACCACTTGAGCTACAGCGCCACTTCCGGTTTTCTGGTGGTTTATTGGAGATAGGAGTCTCACAGTCTCTCCTGCCCGGGCTGGCTTTGAACTGCGATCCTCAGATCTCAGCCTCCTGAGTAGCTAGGATTACAGACGTGAGCCACCAGCTCCCAGCCGTGAGACTCTTATCTCCAATAAACCACCAGAAAACCAGTGTGGCTCAAGTGGCAGAGAATCGCCTTGAGCTGAAAAGCTGAGGAATAGAGCTCAGGTCCAGAGTTCAAGCCCTGTAACCAACCAAAAAGAAAAAGAAAAATACTCAAGAGAAATTCTCAGCAATAGATCAGTTTATATGTGAAGATAAATATATTAACATCAAGGAACAAGAAGAAAGTTAACATGTGTATGAATATATACACACTCAAAGCACTCTGACACAGTGAGCATGAAACGGGAAAAGTATGAAACAACAAACAGTGTAAACACTGTTATATACAATGATATTATACATATCAATAGTAAGCTTTGTACTTCTATTTTAAACTAACATCATTTTTTATTAGCATCTAAATCATTTCCTGGGAAAACATTCTAGAGTAGCATCATTAACCCAGCTCTAAGCTGGGCACAGGTGACTCGTACCTGTAATCCTAGCTACTACTCAAGTGGCTGAGATCTGAAGACTGAGGTTCAAAGCCAGCCTAGGAAGGAAAATCTTATCTAACACACACACACACACACACACACACACACACACACACACACACACACACACACACACACACACACACACACACACACACACACACACTATGGAAGAACACTAGCCTTGAGTACAAAAGCTCAGAGACAGCATCATTTCAAACAGAAGCAGTAGTCAAACACTGCTCATTTAGACAACATTCAAAGATACTGACATCAATAAAGTCAGACATTTTGGTGCATGTATGTAATTCTAACTACTTGGAAGGCTGAGTCAGGAGGATCTCAAGTTCAAAGCTAACCTGAGCTACATAGTGAGTTCCAAGCTGGGCTGGGGTACAGAAAGAACTAGTTCCCAAAAACAAGCAAACAAACAAAACCCAATCTAAATTAGATGGTTGCGCTTTTATTTATTTATAACAATGTTTCCCTAATGCTAGATCTTCCTAACCGGATTCCTATAGTTTGACATTTCCCATGAACTGGTTTAAGATTTTAGATTTTAAAAGGAGTGATCAAATTCAGGTTCACTATTTTGCAAGATTAAACATCCCAGACTGTTACAGAAACAAGATCTGCTTGTCGCTTTTTATGTATTGTTTTTTTCTTATTTTACTTAAGAAAGAAAAGAATGTGGGCTGGGAAGGTGGCTCAGTGGTAGAGCGCTTGCCTTGCATGCATGAGGCCCTGGGTTCGATTCCTCAGCACCACATAAGCAAAAAGAAAAAAGCCGGAAGTGGTGCTGTGGCTCAAGTGGTAGAGCGCTAGCCTTGAGCTGAAGAGCTGAGGGATAGTGCCCAGGCCCAGAGTTCAGGCCCCACAACAGGACAATAAAAAAAAATAAAAAAAAAAAAGAAAAGAAAAGAATGTATCCAATTGTCATATCCACTAGAAGCACTGGATTTACCTGCTGGAAGGCTTGAATTGTAGCGGAGTAGGAACGAAGAGACAGACAAAATTTCAACAACTTCTGCTGTAGAGGTGACAGAAACTGAAATGCGGCTTCCAATATAGCATGATAATAGGAATAATCAGAACCTGTCCCCCCCCAAAAAAAACAATATTAGCCCAAATAATTGTATATGATTAGAGATACCAAATAAGATAGTTCATAAAGTACAAAGCTATATGTTACAAATTTATGTGAACTTTTGTCAAATGATTGTAATTCCCTAGGGTATGTACACATTGCAGATCAGCTCTTCCTCTTGTTTAAACTATTCCTTACCTAGAGTTGTACTATTTTCCACTTACCTGGATAGCTTACTTCTAATTACTTCCAAAGGAAGAGTTCAGCTATGAAATCACAGAACACTGCAAAGTCACTCTGATCCCAAACTCATGTTTCAATGAACTTGTTATATCTCTTCTTGGCTCCCAGAATTATTTCTTTGCTTACTTCTTTCACTTATCATACGATTTACTACATTACTTATTCACTATCTACAGCTCAGCTAGACTTTGGGCTTCCACAAGCAAAGGCTATGCCTTAATCATTATATTCTCAGAACTAAGCATATACTATTTACTCAAGTAACTAAGATACTAAGCAGAATGATAGGGAAGTACCAGATATTAAAGGACACCAATAAAACAAGTTTGAGAAGCATTTAAATAAAATGTTGTGAAATTATATGAAAGAGAAACAATTTACTAATATGAAAACCACTCAGACAAATGAAAAGCAAACCAATAAAACAATAGACATAGTAAACTATCTTTTGTGCCAAAAGGAAAAATGATAGAATGTGTATGTTAAAAAAAAAAAAAAACCTATGGGGGGGTGGGGGGGGGGGGGAGGATGGGAAGGGATGGGAAGGGGAAACAAAGGAGGAGGCTACAATGCTTGATAAGAAATGTACTCATTATCTTGCCCATGTAATTGTAATCCCTCTGTACAGTATTTTCACAATTAAAAAAATAAATAAATAAATATTTCATACAAATTTTAAAAAAAACCTAAGTGAATTAATTTTAAATGGATATAAAAAGCAGGGAAGAACCAGAAAGTAGAGAGGGACAAGAAACAAGATTTTTCAAAAGGCTAGAAGGTTTTTGTTTATCTTTGACCTCAATATCATTTAATAGCCTCTTAAAATTTATATCTTCAACTTTTAAAAGAAAATTATTAATTTTCTAAAAGTAGAATATACAAAGTTCTATGCTACATAGGAAAGGAAACTAGAAAGAAATATCTCAAAATATTGCCAGAATGTTAACGGCATCTATATTTGGTTGGTAAGAGTATGAATAGTATTTCAAATTAATATTTAGCATACTTTTGTGATCAATTATGAGAACTTATACTCCTACATAAACTTATACTTTATCTACAAATATGTATCATTTATACTGATTAAATTTCATTCACTCCTCCCACCCCTCTACCCCCCACCCCCTCTGCCACCGGTCTTGGGGCCTGGACTCTGGGCCTGGGTGATGTCCCTCAACTCTTCAGCTCAAGGCTAGTGCTCTACTATTTGAGCCACAGCACCACTTCCAGCTTTTTCTGCTTATGTGGAGCTGTGGAATTGAACCCAGGGCCTCATTCATACAAGGCAAGCACTCCACCACTGAGCCACCTTCCCAGCCCCTGAATCCACTTTTATAAATTTATTCCAGGAAATCTTAAAAGCAAAATAATTTCTTTTTTGTTGTTGGTGGTGGTCGTGGGGCTTGAACTCTACACTTGGGCACTGTCCCTCAGCTAGTACTCTACCACTTGAGCCACAGCGCCACTTCCAGCCTTTTCTGTTTATGTGGTGCTGAGGAATGGAACGCAGGGGCCTCATGCATGCAAGGCAGCTCTCTACCATGGAGCCATCTTCCCAGCCCAGCCCCGCAAAGTAATTTCTTGATACTTAATTCCAGTTAATTCTAAAGTATATAACTAAAAATTATAGGTCCTTGTTCAAAACATTTATGTATCTCTATTACAAGAGATCCTGATGCTGTTAAAATATGCAGTTAGTAAAAATTTAAAAGAAGCCAATTCCATTAATATCAGTAATACAGGTTCCAAACATTCTCTTTTCAATAAGAATTATTCCTGTGATACTAAAGGCTTTACCTACAATAATGTGTCCTTAAAATCAGGATACAATCATTGTATAAAAGTCATACAGTATACTTATACAAACTGTGACAGGTATGAAGTCACTAGGCAATATGAGACCACTGTTCCATATTTGGTCCATCACTGGCCAAAACATTATTATGTAGCATGTGACTGTGCTCATAAATCAGCATCTTTGGACTTAATGTCTATAGCTTATGGCAAGTTACAAAATGTTTATGAAAGCACATCATAAACTATAAAGGAGTGACGCATTCATACGTAATCATTAGCTTGATACCATGACATTGAACTAGTAAGTAGCTGGCTGGTATAATGGAAAACATTTTGGATGGCATTAACTTCATGATAACATGCTTAACATGATAAATCAGTTATATAATTAATTCACAACAAAAGAATAAACCAAATCAGATGGACATAAAAATACTAAACCGTTTAAAATAAAATGTATATCCACAGCTTGGCACCAGGGACTCAAGTTCATAATCCTAGCTATTCAGGAGGATAAGATCTGAGGATCCTGGTTCAAAGCCAGACCAGGTAGAAAAGTCCATGAGACTCTCAAATTAATCAGCAAAAAGCCAGATGTGAGGTGTGGCTCAAGTGGTAAACCACTAGCTTTGTGCAAAAAAAAACCTCAGGGTCAGCACCCAGACCCTAAGTTTAAGACTCAGGACTGGCACCAAAAAAAAAAAATAATAATAGGGCACAGACAATGGTTACTATTTATAGCCAAACTTATAAACTGCATCAAAAATAATTATTTAGGTTGGGCAGCATGGCCACTGCCTGTAGTTTTAGCTACTCAAGAGGGTGAGGTAGGGGCTGGGAAGGTGGCTCAGTGGTAGAGTGCTTGCCTTGCATGCCTGAGGCCCTGGGTTCGATTCCTCAGCACCACATAAGCAAAAGAAAAAAGCCGGAAGTGGCACTGTGGCTCAAGTGGTAGAGCACTAGCCTTGAGCTGAAGAGCTGAGGGACAGCGCTCAGGCCCAGAGTTCAGGCTCCATGACCGGACCCAAAAAAACAAACAAACAAGAGGGTGAGGCAAAAGGACTGCTTAAGCCCAATACAGGGCAACTTAGCAAGAGCCCATTTCTCAAGAAAAAGGAAAGAAAGAAAGAAGGGAGGGAGGGAGGGAGGGAGGGAGGGAGGGAGGGAGGGAGGGAGGGAGGGAGGGAGAGAGAAAGAAAAAGAGAAAGAGAGAGAGAAAAAGAAAGAGAAAGAAGAAAGAAAGAAAGAAGGGAGGGAGGGAGGGAGGGAGGAAAGGAGGGAAAGAGGGAGGGAGGGAGGAAAGGAGGGAGGGAGGAAAGGAGGGAGGGAGGGAGAGAGAAAGAAAAAGAGAGAGAGAGAAAAAGAAAGAGAAAGAAGAAAGAAAGAAAGAAAGAAGGGAGGGAGGGAGGGAGGGAAGGAGGGAAAGAGGGAGGGAGGGAGGGAGGAAAGGAGGGAAGGAGGAAAGGAGGGAGGGAGGGAGAGAGAAAGAAAAAGAGAAAGAGAGAGAGAAAAAGAAAGAGAAAGAAGAAAGAAAGAAAGGAAGGAAGAAAGAAAGAAAGAAAGAAAGAAAGAAAGGAAGGAAGGAAGGAAGGAAGGAAGGAAGGAAGGAAGGAAGGAAGGAAGGAAGGAAGGAAGGAAGGAAGGAAGGAAGGGAGACAGAGAGAGACAGAGACAGAGAGACAGAGGGAGAGGGAAAGGGGAAAGGAAGAGGGAAAGGGAAAGGGAGGGAGGGGAGAGGGAAGGGGAGGGGAGGGAAGGGAAGGGAGAAATTAAATTTATCAGTTTAAGTCTTTGGGAGCTGGAAGAGTAGCTCAGTGATAGAGCATATACTTACCATCTATCTACAAGGCCCCAAATCAATCCCTAACCCCAAAATAAGGTAAAAAAAAATAGAATAGAATAATAAAATGATTATTTGGGATACTGCTTCTTCCTGGCTGCCATAACAACTCAAGTCATTAAATATTAAAAATGTTTTCCATTAACTGCCATATCACATGTACTATAAAAAACAAGAGACCACTTTTCTAATGTTTTTCCAGACAGCAAAGTCAAAGAAGCATTTGCTTCATTTTTACCGTGATGATCTGATGATCCAATATTTTGACTGGCTTCTACAAAATTCCAAAATTTCTCTTGACTGTCTTCTGCTAAAAACTCACTGGGAGAAAAAGGGGAAATGTCAGCAATAAAACTTAATAAAATACTGTAATATAAACTATATTACTACACAGAACTAAAAGAGGTCTTGAAGTTTCCAAATACTCAATGTGACTTTTAATTTACATATATATGTATTATACTTAGGTATGTATAATACATATATTTTGTAAATGATAAGCAAAGCTTACTGTCTCACTACTTATTAATAATTTAATTTAGTAACATTCACTTTGTTATTTCAAAAGAAACTTAGAATAATCAAAATATAACATGGACATTGACAAAAATGCTATTGGTAATAGTGGAAGTAGAATTCAGAATTGATAATTCACTTACTTTCAAAAAAATGCCAATTTTTTAAAAAATGAACTAAAGGCACAACTCAAGTGGTAGAGGACTAGCCAAAGTCTAGCAAGAGCTTGAGGCCAAAAGTTGGGCTGGTGGTATGGCTCAAATGGTAAAGCACCAGCCAAGCAAATGCCAAGCCCAGAATTCTCACCCCACCAAAAAAAAGTTTTGCCAAGGATTTTTTCAAAGTAAACATTTCTAGGAGAATAAAACTAGCATGTTAAATGTGTTAGTATCCATATATCAAGATGACCGAAGTTTAAAATTAACACCGATCTAACAAAATCAGATCTAAGAACTCAATGTCATCTTTTCATTTTTTTCTGGCTTTACACTATTAACCTAAAAATAACGGCCACTCTCAATTTGCCTTCATTTAGGAGTCTAAAACCCCTGAAAAAGAAAGTGCATATAACAACTGGATGACTCAAGTAAATTGTTATCTGCCCTTCAAACCATACAGCTAATGTAGTGGTGATCTTTCACTATCTTAAAGCAAACTACAGATCTGGATCTCAGCTTACCTAGCCAAAGGAAGACTTTCCCATTACTTGTCAACACTGGGGTGTACAACTCTCACTCTACTCCACAGCTAGACACAGAAATATGGGAAAAATAAGAAACATGTCCTGGTAATGCACAGCTTCTCTAAAAATAGGTTCTTGAAAACAGCCATTAGGTTCTTGAAAACAGCCATTATCGTTAATATATTAAATTATTTAATGCCTCCTTGAGAGTAGTATTTTTCTGGGCTTTCTAATAACTGCATAAACACTAGGCCAACCTTAGAACAGCTTACACTCTAAGCAAACAGGTACTAACATACACCATGATATGAAAATAAATACCAAGTTCATGAATTAAAGTCACATTTACAAATAAGCTACCATAGATATACTAAAAAGAATGTTGTCACTTTATTTGCCTTATAAAAGTTTGCTTTTTAGCTTCTAATACATATCCTACATAATAAAAATCTATGGTTCTACAAATGAAATTATGTGGCATCTGGAATTCAATTTAAAATACGCCAGTTATGTGAAAGAGAGGGTAGTAGTTATTAGACTTGACTTATTTTCTCGGGTGCTAGAGATGGAAGAGCCTCATGTATGCCACTGAGCCACACCTTAGTTCTGATCATCATTAAGTGAGTGATGTATATAGAATACAGTATACCATTTCCCCCTTCATAAACACTTTAAACTGTCATAATAAAAAGTTTTGGGGCCAGGAGCTGACAACTCACACCTGGTATCCTAGCTACTTAGGAGGCTGTGATCTGAGGATTAGTGGTTTGAAGAGTCAGCCTAGGCAGGAAAGTTCATGAGAATCTTATCTTCAATTAACCACCAGAAGTGGAGCTGGGGCTCAAATAGTAGAGTGCTAGCTTGAGGGAAAAAAAAGCTCAGAGATAGCACCTAAGCCCGAAGTTCAAGCCCCAGTACCAGAAAAAGATAAAAGAGTTTAGAGTTTTTGGATGAGCACAGTGGTTTAAGTTTGTAATTCTAGCTACTCAGGAAGGTGAGATCTAGGCAGACAGAAATCAAGGCCAGCCTTGGCATGAAAGTTCAAGAGACTCCATGTCAAGAAGTGGCTAGGCGCTGAAACATGTGTTTGTTATCCTCAGAAAAGGACAAGCAGGAAAGCACAAACAGGAAGATCATAGCCCAATCTAGCCCAGGCATAAAGTGAGACCCTACCTCAAAAATAACCAAAATAAGAGCCAGGTATCAGCAGCTCATAGCTATAACCCTAGCTACTCAGGAGGTTGAGATCTGAGAATCAAAGGATCTGAGGTTCAAAGCCAACCTGGCAGGAAAGTCCATGAGACTCTTATCTCCAATTAACTACTAAAAAGCTGCAAGTACAGTTGTGACTTAAGTGGCAGAGTACTAACAAAAATGCTCAGGAACAGTGCCCAGTTCCCGAATGAGTTCAAGCCCCAGAATAAGCACAAAAACAGACACACACACACACACACACACACACACACACACACACACACACACACACAGACAAGCACACACTCGTGGGCATGGTGCACACGAGCGCATGCATGCACGCGCACTCACACTCACACACACACACATACACATACACACACACACACACAGAGATAAGGGTTGCTGCCCAGAGCCAATGGCTCATGCCTGTAATCCTTAGCTACTCAATAGGCTGAAATTTAAGGATCTTGGTTCAAAGCCAGCCGGGGCTAGAAAGTCTATGAAACTAAAAGAAAACTAAAAAAAAAAAAAAAGTCTATGAAACAAGTAACCCCCAAAAAGCCAGAAGTGGGGCTGTGATTCACGTTGGCAGAGTGCTAGACTTGAGCAAAATAGCTCAGGGACAGCACCTAAGCCCTGAGTTCAAGCCCCAAGACTAGCACAAAAACCAAAAGAGGGAGGGAGTTGCAGGCATAGCTTAAATTGGTGAGTGCCTGCCTACCTTGAAAGCATGGGACTAGAGTTCCATCCCCAGTATACCAAAAAAATAAAATAAAATAAAATCAGACAATAGAAATTCAGTGCTAATATTGCTTTCTAAGATTTGCAAATTTACTGTGGATAGTCAGAATAGGACTAGGAGGAAAAGGAAAAAAGAATATTTGAGTAGGCCCTACTATATTACAGTCACTGTGCTTGGCCTTTTCACTTATGTCCATAAACCCTTATATCCACTCTCAATCAGAACCATTTTGCAAATAAAGAAACTACATAAGAATTTAAGTTTTTCATCTGTGGAAAAAACAAACTACAAACAAGCTGAATTCACCAGGAGACAGCACAAATGTGGTGGTAATCTTTTTTTAGATTTGTCATTTCATTTACATTCAAAAACATTTGATTTACACCTCTGCTACACTATATTCGTGGACTACCATAACATCTAGAACTCAATAAATGACTTCTGGTATTAATTACAGTATCTACTTACCTAACATTTCTGTCAGTAACTATGGCTGCTCAATATAGTAATGTGTAACTATATGAATATCACAAAGCTACAAGTTTTCATAACCATCAGTCACAACCTAAAAATATATATAGACAAGTTGGGGGCCAGTGGCTCACACCTGTAATGCTAGCTACTCAGAAGGCTGAGATCTAAGGATTGAGGTTCAAAGCCAACCTGGGCAAGAAAGTCTCAAAGACTCTTATCTGCAATTAATCACCCCAAAAAAAACAAAGAAAGAAAGAAGGGAGTCGGGCACTTGTGGCTCACATCTATAATCCTAGATATTCAGGAGGCTGCGATCTGAGGCTCAGGGTTCAAAGCCAGCCCACGCAGGAAAGCCTGAGAGACTCATCTCCAATTAATCACTAGAAAACCAGAAGTGGACTGTGGCTCAAAGTTGTAGAAAACTAACCTTGAGTGAAAAGCTCAGAGACAGTGTCCAAGACCTGAATTTAAGGCCCACAAGTGCCAAAAATAAAAATTAAAAAATAAGGCCAAAAGTGAAACTGTGGCTCAAATGGTAGAGCACTAGCCTTGAGCAAAAATGTCCAGGGAAGGTGCCCAAGCTCTGAGTTCAGGCCCCAGGACTAGCACCAAATATACAAACCGCAGACATATTTTAGTCCCTTACAGTTAGATATAAGGAATGCAAAAGGTCTGTAACTGCCTGCCTTGATGTGTAGAGAAAGATTCTAACCTTTCATCCTCATCCAGATGGACAGAGAGCAGTCAGACATAGGACAAAGAATGGTGGCCTAAGCAATCTCTACAGGTGAAAAGAGTGGTTTCAAATAAGCAGGGCCCCTATCTAGTTCTCTACAAGTCTCATTACTTTGGATACCTGTGAACAAATAGCTACTGAAGAAGAGGCTCAAAAATAAAGACCTTGGGGATGGGAAGGTAGCTCAGTGGTAGAGTGCTTGCCTTGCATGCATGAGGCCCTGGGTTTGATTCCTCAGTACCACATAAGCAGAAAAAGCTGGAAGTGGCACTGTGGCTCAACTGGTAGAGCATTAGCCTTGAGCTGAAGAACTGAGGGACAGCACTCAAGCCTAGAGTTCAAGCCCCATGACCAACAAAATAAATAAAGACCTTTTCTGGGCAACAGTGGCTTATGCCTGTAATCCGACCTACTGAGGAGGCTGAGATCTGAGGATTGCAGTTTGAAGCCAGCTGAGGAAGGAAAGTCCTTGAGACTCTTATCTCTTATCTCTAATTAATCACTAAAAAGCTGCAAATGAAGTTGTAGCTCAATTGGCAGAGCTCTAGCCTTGAGCATAAAAGCTCAAGTATAGTGTCTATCAAGCCCCAGAACCAGTACCAAAAAAAAAAAAAAGACCTTTGCCATGGATCAGTGGCTCACAACTGTAACCTAGCTCACACTTATAATCTCAGCTACTCAAGACACTGAGATATAAGAATCATGGTTCAAAGAAGCCTGGGAATGTTTGAGAGATTCTAGTCTCCAATTAACCAGGAAAAAACTCTAGAAGGGGAGGAGAGGAGCAAGTAGTGTGGTGGAGTGCAGTTGTGAGCACTAGGTGTTTGGGGTTTTAGTGAGCTAGCCCACTCTACTCCCCTCCCTGTTTCCCATCCATCCATCCATCCATCCATCCAGCCAGCCAGCCAGCCATCCATCCATTCACTTTCCCCCTGATTCTTTGTGGGGAATCAGGAGATACGGAAAAGAGAAAGCAGAAAGTCTGTCAAGTTCCTGAGCAGGTTCCCTCAAATCCTCTTAGCAATACCAAATGACATTTCTTTCTTAGGAAGGCAACTTACTCATAAAATCAATATGACAAAATGCTTCATTCATATTGTTCAAGGAATTAGGGGAAAAATGTTAGAAGGCAAAATTTTAACTTGAAGATGACAGAGAGATTTAAAAAAATAACAATTATTCTGGCAGTTCAATTTTCTAGAATCAAACACTTAAGACTAAGCCAAGTACAGTAACATATACCTGTAACCGCAACCACTTAGGAGGACTGACTGAAATTCAAGGCCAACTGGGTAAAAAGGTAGCAAGACTGTCTCAAAAACAAACTGGAAAAGAAAAAGTACTTAGGGAATAGCTGAAGTCATAGTGTTTGGGTTCAATTCCCAGTACCATGAAAAACCAAAAACAAAGACTTAGCAGTTACTTGCTGTTGAGTCTACTTACATTTATCCTTTGGAAAGATTATCTTGATAGCCTAATTACACATTGTTTAAGAAACAGCAAAAATAAATTTCTATACATAAACATAAAGCCTGGCTATAAAAAGTGCTATCTCTGGGCTGGGAATGTAGCTCAGCGGTACAGTGCTTGCCTGGTATGCACGAAGCCCTGGGTTTGACTCCTTAGTACCACATAAACAGAAAAAGCAGGAAGTAGTACTATTGTTCAAGTAGTGCTAGCCTTGAGCAAAAGCAGTTCAGGGACAGTACCCAAGCCCTGAGTTCAAGCCCCAGGACTGGCAAAAAAAAAAAAAGTGGGGGGCTGGGAAGGTGGCTCAGTGGTAGAGCGCTTGCCTTGCATGCCTGAGGCCCTGAGTTCGATTCCTCAGCACCACATAAGCAGGAAAAAAAAAAGCCGGAAGTGGCACTGTGGCTCAAGTGGTAGAGCGCTCGCCTTGAGCTAAAGAGCTGAGGGACAGCGCCCCAGGCCCAGAGTTCAGGCCCACAACCGGACCCAAAAAAAAAAAAAAAAAAAAGTGGTATCTCAGGGCTGGGAAGGTGGCTCAGTGGTAGAGCGCTTGCCTTGCATGCCTGAGGCCCTGGGTTCAATTCCTCAGCACCACATAAGCAAAAAGAAAAAAGCCGGAAGTGGCGCTGTGGCTCAAGTGGCAGAGTGCTAGCCTTGAGCTGAAGAGCTGAGGGCCAGCGCCCAGGCCCAGAGTTCAGGCCCCACGACCAGACACCCCCCCAAAAAAAATGGTATCTCAGGGCACTGATATTGCAAATGCTACATAAAAAGCATACTTTTCCAAGAATCATTGAGTATACTGTATTTTATAAATTGTAAGACACATCCTATTTTATGAAAATTGCTATCCAGATTTTGTTTTACCTTGCTTTGTATTGCTAGGTAATGGAGTCAGGGCCTTTTACCCTGCAGCACCTAAGCTGTGCCCCAGTCCTTTCTGTCTTCATTTCAACTTAGACACAAAAAGAGACACAAGATCTCCCTGCCTTTTTTGCTTGTGCTAGCCTAGAATTCACAATCCTCCTGCCACCAACTACCAAGAAGCTAGAACTACAGGCCTAAGTCACCAGACCCAGATAACTTTTTTGTTTTTTTCTTGAGACTAATCTCAAACTTATCAGCCCTCCTGTCTCAGCCTCCCAAGTGCTAGAATTAGGCATAAGCTACCACATCCACTCTAAAATGAATTCTTTTGATAGTGTGTGTGTGTGTGTGTGTGTGTGTGTATATATACACCAATACTGGGGCAGGGCCTCTCACACACACATTTATATTCTACCATTTGAGCCACACCTCCACTTCCAGCTTTTTGTCTAATTCAATGTAAGAATGTTCTGGATTTTTCTGCTCTAGTTGGCTTCAAACCCCAGTCCTCAGATCTCAGCCTCTCGAGTAGATGTCAGCCAGTGATATTTGGCAAGATAACTTCTTGATTTGCTTAAAAATGCGGGCTGGGAAGTTGGCTCAGTGGTAGAGCGCTTGCCTTGCATGCCTGAGGCCCTGGGTTCAATTCCTCAGCACCACATAAGCAAAAAGAAAAAAGCCGGAAGTGGCGCTGTGACTCAAGTGGTAGAGTGCTAGCCTTGAGCTGAAGAGCTCAGGGACAGCGTCCAGGCCCAGAGTTCAGGCCCCACGACCAGACCCAAAGGAAAAAAAAAAAAAAAAAATGCATCGTGGACAGTGGCTCACATCTATAATCCTAGCTTCCCAGGATCTGAGTACCACAGTTCAAAGCCAGCCCAAGCAAAACAGTCCATGAGTCTATTATCTTCAATTAATTAACCACCAGAAAAAGTCTTACTGGAGTGGCTCAAGTGCTAGCCTTGAGCAAAAAAGCTCAGAGACAGTATCCAGGCCCTGAGTTCAAGCTACAAGACTGGCTAAAAGAAGCATCCTGATGGAGAGGTAAATATGATCAAAACGAAAACATCATAAGGAAATTCATTTTAGTAAAGTTAACATATGCAAATTTAAAAATATTATAGTTGTATGATGGGATACTATGCGGTAGAGAAAATATTTGAAATGTGTACAAACTGATATGGAAAGACCTCTAAGATACAGTTACTGTGGAAAGAATGTGAGATATAGACAGACAGACAGATAGATAGATAGATAGATAGATAGATAGATAGATAGATAGATAGATAGATAGATAGATAGATAGATAAATAGATAGAAAATGTCTAATGAAGCTCTTAAATGTCGCTGAGCCTGTGCAATTGAAAGATAGATCCTGTGTGTGTGAGGAAATCTTAATAAATGCATCTGAAAACATAATCACCCTGCCTAAAAAGCTCATAAACATTCATTTAGTAACAGAACCAACGCCTGCATTTAAAAAACGCGAAAGAGAAAAATGTCTCCTTACCTGGCTTCTAACAAGAGTGGTGAAGAGAACCACTTCGTTGTGAGAGAGGTTGTAATGGCTTTTGAATCTGCTTTTACTGAGGAGAGCAGCCACAACCCAGTGAAGGCAATCAGGATTCCCATTTTATAGCAAAGCCCTAAAAAGGAAAAAGATAATGTTAAATTCTTAGTTTTCTTTTCTCCCTATTTTAAGTTCTTAGTTCTTACAGATAGGAAACAACTTTAATACTTTGAGACACAAAGTAACACTAAAGTTATAGAAATAGAAAATGTTTCTGAAGAAAAAGAGCACTTATTACTTAGCCTCCAACAGATACCTACTAAACACCTGACAAACTCTGATACAAAACTAAGGGTGAGTAGTTTATTACATTCTTCCCTACTGAGGTTTCAACAAAGCACTTTTGAGTACTCTGTATTTTAAAGCGAGTTAGTTACATAGTAGGTTCCATCAACCATACTTTATAAAACACAAGAAAAAAACTGACAGATGAAACTAAAATAATAAATGGGTGTCACAGGATGAACTTTATCCTCCAAAAAAATGTTTAGGATGCACTTATTTATTTCGAGTAGAGCATTTACAATGATGATCAAGTTAAGATGGTGCCATTGGGACAGTCTAGTCCAATATAGCTGGTGTTACAAAAAGAGGAAAGTTGGACTTGGAGACAGACACACAGAAGGAAATTGTGTGAACAGACACAGGGAAAATACCAGATGAAGATAAGAGACAGACACTGCAAGCCTGGGGATTCCTAGGGCTACCATAAGCTGGAAGGCAAGGAAAAAACCACCCCACACAGTTTTAGAGGAAAGCAGTGCTGCCAAACCACATAGGATTTGAAGCCTTCAAAACTGTGAGACAATAAATTTCTGTTGTTTTAGGCCACCAAGTTAATGGTACTATGTTACAGAAAACAATTATAATGGAACTCAAAATACTACTCATTCTGAAATGAGCAAATATAAGAATTCAATGCTTCCCAGGCCTACTACCCCACCTACAAGATGTAGAAGCCGGATGTCCAGTATGCTGCATGGCCACAGCAGGCAGTCTCCGGCTCCCCTTGGCAGTCTCTCTAAACCTGTCCAGGCCATTTCCAGAAAGAGGTACCTACAGATTCCTCTGGTCTGATTTTTCATGCCAGAGACCTGCATAACAGAACCTTGCTAGATATTCCCCCTGAGGTGTAAAAGCTCAGCATCCACAGGTTGAGTGCTTGCCTAGTAGATGTGAGGGCCTAAGTTCAACTCCTAGTACAAAACAATAGGAAAAAAGTCAGGCCTAGTGGTGCAAGTCTATAGTCTCAGCTATACAGGAAGCTGAGACAGGTTCAGATTGCTTCAACCTTAGAATTCAAAGTCAGTGGGCAACAATATGAAATTGCTCAAAAAATGAGCATCCAGGTCCCATCAGACAGAGTGGGACCAAGAGGCTAAAAGTGGAAAGCACAGGCCATTCCTGTGCTTCTGAATGATAGTGTCCACTAAGACCATACAGTCTCACCCCTGTGGCTCCGTGGTGCTTATGTAACCTAATGAGGAAAAAGGTCAGCAATAGCTTCTTTGGGGGAATTAGTAGCTTCTTTTTTATTGAAAGTATTATCATTTGTGCTAACCTGCTGCTTCTTGCAATACACAGTCTTTGAAGAGTAACAGGCAAAGGCACCATAAATTACAGCAAATAGAAAAGTGACTTAAAAGAATCTGAAAACAAGACACTGCCAGCTCCTGTAGAAACAAAAAATAATAATCTGAATATCCTATCTGAAGTTCTAAAAAAAAGTTCTAAAAAATAGACTATTATTATATGTTCTACAGAAACAAAAAGGACACATGCAAAAAATTAAAACCTACTAAAAACAGCTTTACACCACACGAGAACTCTGATAGCGCAATGTAGGAGCACTGATTCCTGGCTGAAGGAAGGTGGATATGGCATATGGATCAGAATTTAGTAAAGCTACTGATATTTCTTAGAGACTTTTACACACAACTTCAGACATTCCCTATGCCTGTGCATTGTGGCCTTGGAAGCCTGCTCTATAAGATAAAACACGGTTCATAAAAAAAGAAAATCTGTTATGAGGGTCAGGCAAGCTGTGACCAATTCCTGAATTTGCTACTTGTTTTGCTTTTTGCCCCTAGCACTCTTGCTTTAGATATTATTCAAACAAGGTCTCCAATTTTTGCCTAGAGCTGTCCTCAGACCATGATTCTTCTACTTTCCTAGGAATACAGCTTTGTACTACCACATTCAGCTTATTTGTTGAGATAGGACTTGGTAATTTTTTTCTCTAGGCTGGGCTCAAATTTTGATACTACTGATATCTGCCTTACTAGGAGCTCAACCATAAGTAAATAGCTATCTTCCCTGGCTCTGTATCTCCCAGGCTATAAAAAAGGAATGACAGCATCTTCTACATAGGATCACTGTGAGAATTAAATGGTAATATGAAAATAACTTTGTAAAGTGCCAAGAACTGTACCAGAACCATTGTAGTAAGACATTTTATCCTAAGAAAAAATACCTTCCAAAGTATAGACTGGCACATCACCAAAAACATGCCTTGGAAAATATGCATGTCCTCTGTGGGTAGGAGAAAAGAAAAGGCCCCCTTCCATAATCTCTGACTATAATCTTTATGTAACTGAAGTAGCTAGAGAGTAACACCAGGCAGACAGCAAGCAGTGACAGAAAGCACGTTAGGTGCTCTATGTATACTATGGGACCTAATCTTCACACACAATAACCAAGAGACTGAAGCTCTCTGAAGACTACAACCGTGGGGCTGGGAAGGTGGCTCAGTGGTAGAGTGCTTGCCTTGCATGCATGAGGCCCTGGGTTCAATTCCTCAGTACCACATAAGCAAAAAGAAAAAAACCAAAGTGGCGCTGCGCTGTGGCTCAAGTGGTAGAGCACTAGCCTTGAGCTGAAGAGCTGAGGGACAGTGCCCAGGCCCTGAGTTCAGGCCCCACGACCGGACCCAAAAAAAAAAAGAAATGAAGACTACAACCATGTCTACTTTGTTGACCACAGAACAGCATGGTACCTGGTACACAGTAGGTATTCTATGAATATGTTTTACAAATGAAGTATTGCCATCACCACTTTAAATATAAGCCAATGAAAGCTCAGAGGGCTTTTAGTCTTTCATCCATAGGTACACTGGGCAACTAATAATGGCAATGTTGGACCCTCTATCAGCCTGTTTTGGAAGTTTTCAGTATCATGCTATATCCCAAAGCTATATGGTTTTAGAAGAGGTAACAATCTAATTGTACAGGTGCAGATTGTGCAGCTTGCTTTACTGTAAGAACTAAAGCAAGTCCACAGCTTCCCTATAGGCCAAGCTCTCACAAATGACACAGGGGAATAGTTTCAACCAAAAAACAGAAGAGCAGGCCTGAAGCTAGGACAAAAGCCAATTTCCCAATCAGCATGACAGATCTCTACTTAGGGTGGCTTCAGGAACTGTATACAAACTCCTCAAGAGCAACGAGTTTTGTCCATCATCATCACCATGTCAAGCATATCTGGAATGCAGGAAGCATTCACAACAAAAATAAATCCAGGCTTCATCCATCAATGAAAGTAACAACATAAAAAGGAATGTGTCAATAATGGTTGACATTAGGACTGAGCTAAATAGTGGTTCTCATTTATAATTCCAGCTGAGAATTATGAAAATAAGGCTGAGATCTGAGGTTCAAGGTTCAAAGCCTTCCAGAAGACAAAACTGATTCTTAGCCAGAAAAAAAAAGTGGTAGAGCACCAGCCATGAATGAGAAAGCAGATCAAATGAGGACCTGAGTTCAAGCCCAGTACCCAGTACTGACATACTGCTACACATATGTTGTGTACATATGACTAACCCAACCATCCTTTGCATTGTTTGAAAGTATATGTTCTTGAAGAGAGTTACCATTAGAGATGAGAATAAGATGAAAGAACAAGATGAAAGCTGTGTATTCAAGAAGAGGTTTGCCAGTCTAATCACATATACTTGACTCCACAGGTAATAGCAGAGGAAAAGATATCCAGAAGCTGGGCACCAGTGGCTCACACCTATAATCCTAGCTACTCAGGAGGTTGAGATCTGAGGATCATAGTTCAAAGTCAGCTGGGGCAGGAACGTCTATGAGACTCTTATCCAATAAACCACCAGAAAACTGGAAATGACACTGTGGATCAAGTGGTAGAGTGCTAGCCTTAAGCTGCCCAAGCCCAGAGTTCAAGCCCCACGACCAAGGAAAAAAGAAAATGTCCTGAGAAAAAGAGATAAGAACCTCATTGAAGTGGTCTTTTAAGGATGACTTCATTTTATGAGATCCAATTCTGATCCTAGTGATTCTTAAATGTTGCTGATAAAGTTGAATCATCTGAATGACAACAAATGTTAGAATACTCAATGTGGCAATACAATGGTAGTGGTTGATGGATAAACAGAACACACTCTAACAATCTCTAGGACCAACTTAATCTTTAAGATTCTAGTACATTTCTATTAAAATATACTCCGGTTCATTTATCTACAGAAAAATAAACTAAAGAAGGATGTGGTGGTACATGCCTGTAATCCCAGCATTAGGGACTGAACTACATAGCAAATTCCAGGCCATCCTGAGCTATATAAGGAGACATTGTCTGAAAAAGAAAAGAGAAAAAAAAAAAAGATACAGGAAAAAATTAAGTATACATGGTGTATGTTTATTGTTGGGAGCGGGGGTGTTTGGTGCCAGTCCGGGGGCTTGAACTAAGCCACAGCTTCACTTCCGAATTAGAGATAGGAGTTCAACCAGAGGACTGGCAAAAGGTGATGAACCAGCCTAGAGCAAAAAAGCTCAGGGACAGCAACTTAGCCCTGAGTTCAAGCTCCAGAACTAGCATTAAAAAAAAAAAAGTTTCAGCCAAGTTTATTAAAAGCAAGCCAAGTAGAAAGGCTACATTATCTGAGACTTCCAACAGTCGCATGCTATTTAAAATGTCTTCAAATGCTAGCCAGTGTAGAAGTTATTTCTAGAAAAGAAGGCACTTTATACTAAAACTGGCTGGCAACTACACCGATAAACGGTTCTAAAACACAGCCAGGTGGAAGACCCAAGTATTAAGCTGGACAAAATGTGCTCCTTTTCAAGTGAGAAAACAAACGCAAACCAAGTTGAAGATTTTGCCAAAGGAGGAAACCCGACCGTAACACACTGGCGATGTAAGCGAGCCTTGTTCGTCGGCAGGATTCACACGAAGAGGGAAACTGACCGTCCAATAGCGGCCCACAAACTGTCAGTAAACCAAAGCTGCCGACCACCGGGACCGGCGGAACTCATCCTGTGAACTGGCCGGGACATCCTCCGCCGGGGCCCCACACCGCGCTGGGCCCAAACCTCAGCCGGGCCAGGCTGGATCTCAGTGCAGCAAGGGCGCGGCCCCGGACACCGTGAAGAGAGCCCGGGGCCGCCTGGGACCCCGACGGCGTCTTCCCAAGGCCACTGGGGACAAGTTGAGTCAGTTGCAACGGCGGGGAAGGTTGTGACACTGCAGGGGAAAACTCAGTCCGGACAGAGACGGAAGCCCCAGGTGGCACGGGCACCCCGCGCCTCCGGGCACCCCACGCCTCCGACCTCCCACGCCAGCCCCAAGTACCTGTCACCCGCCGCGCAGCCGCGACACGCGCGGCGCTCGCGTCCCCCATGTCCGGGCCGCCTTTCGTCCACGACAGTGCCTGCGACGACGCCGCCTGGGAGGGGAGGGACGCGGCGACAACGGAGGAGGCTGCGCCAGTGAGAGGCCGACACGCGCCTCTCCCGCGGCGCCGCTGGCCCAGCCGGTCTCAGAGCTACAGCCCGCGGCTAGTCGCCTTTGACTTCCGCTTCCTGAAGGCGAGGGCCGGAGGATTTCCGGCCACCGAGTTGAGGCGGCGGCATCCTAGAGCGCCGGTCCCCGTGGCCACCGTGTTCTCTGGGAGGAAGCCCCGCCCCTCGCATTGGGCCCACCCTCACGCGCTGGCCCCGCTCTTGGGACAGCCCCTGCAGGCCGATTGGCAGAACCGCGAGCGGATGTCAGCCTTCGGTATTTGAATTTGGCTCTACAGTCGACTTATTCTCTTGTCAGAAAATCTCTGCTACAGCCGTGCGCCAGTGGCTCACGCCTGTAATCCTAACAACTCAGGAGGCTGAGATCTGAGGATCGCGGCTCAAAACCAGCTCGGGCAGGAAAGTCCTTGAGACTCTTATCTCCAATAAACCAACATAAAACCAGAAGTGGCCACGTGGCTCAGTGGTAGAGTGCTCGCCTTGAGCAGAAGAGTTCAGGGATGGCCCCCAGGCCCAGAGTTCAAGCCTCACGACCTTCCTCCCCCCCCCCCCCCCCAAAAGTTCCGCTACAGAACTTTTGCACAATTGTCTTAATGTTTCTGAATGGTAGGGACGTTTTAAATCCTACCAACTGGCTTGTCTCCTAAATGCACGGCCACATAATCCACAGGGATTCACTTGTACTTTTCTTTTTGAGATCTAAGTCACAGAAATTTGATTTAGAATATTGACCCTGGAACCAGGCGCCAGTTGCTCACACATATAATCCTAATTGCTCAGGAGGTTGAGCTTTGAGGATCATAGTTCGAAGCCAGCCCAGGCAGAAAAGTCACCGTGACACTCATAGTTCCAATGAAGCCGGAAGTAGTACTGTGGCTCTAGTGGTAGAGCACTACCCTTGAGCACAAAGAGGCTCAGGGACAGCGCCCAGGCCCAGAGTTCAAGCCCCACAACCGACAACAATAACAACAACAACAACAATAATACATGTAAAATTGGCTTAAAAAGAAGGAATTGCAAGAAGGATGAAGATGGTTGAATATGGTGGAAGTGAACTATTTGCCATTGTGAAACCTGTTGAAATTGTTTTAGGAAGGGGGGAAAAGAGGACTGAGTGATGGGAGGGGTGAAATGGATTAGAATACACTGCAAATATGTGTGGATATTTAGAAATGAAATCCCACTCTGTATAATAATGTAAACTAATGGAGAAAAAAAAGGAAGGAATTAAACATTTGGATTGCTAATAACAAGAAGGAAAGGAGGGAGAGAACACCCAAGCCTATGTTAAGATCAGAAACCTGGTTCTAAAGGAAGCTCATAGCTGGGAATACTAAATTATATCAATGTGGAACTTAGATGGAGTATGCAGAACCTGCAGAGAAAATGCTATGGTGTGACTATCATTTGACTGTGTCCCACAAAGTTCCATGTTCTGGAAGCTTGGTCCCTAGTTTGGTGATGATGAGGTATGATCCTTGAAGAGGTTGGGCCCAGTGGAAAACAATTAGGTCATGAGAGTACCAGCCAATTGGCAAGGATTATTGCTGGTCTCACAGAGAAAGTTTATTCTACCAACAGCGAATAATAAAGAGAGCAGAGCTGGCTCCTAAATCTTTTTGGCTTCTGGTCTCACCACATGATTTCTTGTAAAAGTGTGCCTTCCATTGCGATGCATGTGCCATGAGGCCCCCATCAGTGTAAACAGATGGGATCACACAATCTTAGACTTCTAGACTCCAAAACTGTAAGCTGAATTAGATAGATAGATAGATAGAAGATATCTTTATCACTTATATCATCCAGCCTCAGGTAGTTTGTTATAGCAACAGAAATCCAACTATAACAAGTGAGTCAAATTGAATTCACTGCTGAGAGGACTCCTACATACACTTTTGAATAAACCAAATGTATTATATGTCACTTGTAAGGATTTTTAAGGGTATGCACTCGGTCAAGAAATGAGTTACAGAGAAAAAAGTTGGATATTAAGACTTGTTTTCAATTGGAAAATAAATACAATCAACAGATGTTTATAGTGATACACAGCACATGCAAAAATGGTGATTTATTTGAAGGCTACTATTTGCACTTTAAGTTGTTAAATTGACCATGTACACAAAAGACAATGTGATCACTAAATGATTGCTTTCCATAGACTGCCCATCCCAGGAAAAATCTGTTCAGCCATGAACCACAGAGGTTGTCCTGTTGGAATGTAAAAAGAGGAAATCACTGGAGCCAAGATTTGGGGTCCCACTTTCTTTCAATAATTAGATTGGGGTGGGGGGGAGAAATTGGAGGAAAATAAGCTGTAGAACAAAAGTGAGTATCCTTAGAAGAGCAGATACCTTCTAAGCATTTTTTCAGGTGGTAAGAAGACCTCCCAGAAATTCTCAGTCACCTACTCCAAAACTCATTCATGTCCATTGTCAGGCACACTATATGCTTTTCTAGAGCTAGGAATGAGCAATAGAGAGGCTGATTGCATCCATCTCATGTGGCCCCTGACATCATGAATCAGGACTCCCTCTTGCCAATGTGTGTCTGCAGATCTTGCCACCAAGAGGTGGAATCTGTATGTTCACCCTTTGAATGTGTGTTGGCTTATTTGGTCAAGGCTAGTGCTATACAGCTTGAGGAACAGCTCCACTTTGGGCTTTTTGCTAGTTAACTGAAGATAAGAGTCTCACAGATGCTGCTGCCCACGCTAGCTTCATACCTCAACCCTCAGTAGCTAGACTTACAGGTTTGAGGCTATGGTGCCCAGCCTTCCTTGTATAGCCATTGAATTTTAAAATATTGGAATATCACCTGTCTAAAAATACAAAATGAACTTGCTTTCACAACATTTCTAGAGTTGGGGTATATGTTGCTCAGAAGTAGAGTGGATTGATGAGGGTCTGGGTCCCCCAGCACTATAAACAACCGCAAAAACCATGTTTCAAAAACAGCCAAATAAAGTGGAAAGAAAGGAGAGGAGGCAAAAAATTTGCAGATAAAAGCTAAAGGGAGGGCCTGGGAAGGTGGCTCAGTGGTAGAGCGCTTGCCTTGCATGCCTGAGGCCCTGGGTTCGATTCCTCAGCACCACATAAGCAAAAAGAAAAAAGCCAGAAGTGGTGCTGTGGCTCAAGTGGTAGAGCGCTAGCCTTGAGCTGAAGAGCTGAGGGACAGTGCCCAGGCCCAGAGTTAAGGCCCCAGACCGTACCCCAAAAAAAAAAGCTAAAGGGAAAGAAAAAAATCACAAGCTACCTGCTATGGTTTGAATATGGACACTGTCCCTAGAGGTCCATCTGTAAGCTTTATCCCCCAGGGGACAATCTTTGGAGGTGATGTGGACTTCAAGAGGTAAGGTTGTAGTCTAGGCACCATGATGCCTGTCTGTAATCTCAGCTACTCAGGAGGCAGAGATCTGAAGGAGCAAGGTTTAAGGCTCAGCATAAAGTTAGCAAGACCTAACCCCAATAAACAAGCCAGATATGGTGGTGCTCATCTGTAATTTCAGCACTGCAGGCGGCATTGGTAGGAGGATAACAGTCCAAGGCTAACTTTGACCAAAACAAGAGATCCTATCAGGAAAAATCTAGAGCAATTAACAGATTATGTTGTTGGTGCCCTGCATCTTGTATATACATTTTTCTAATTTGGGGAGGGGAAGGAAATAACAAAATACTAAAACAAGAATACAGATGACACATTGTAACAATAAGATATAGAAAATGAACTTTACAACTTGGGGGGTGGGGAAGAGGGAAGAGATGGTAGGGGAAAAACAAAGGAGGAGTTAACAATGCTCGATAGGAAATGCACTCATTACCTTATTCATGTAATTGTAACCCCTCTGTACACTATTTTTACAATAAAAAACATTTTAAAAAATTAAGTGGCTCAAATAGCAGGACATCTGTATGTCTAGCAAACACAAGTCTTGAGTTCAAACATCAATACCACACAAAAATAGAAGAAGTAGGAAGGAGGACCTTGTGGTCCTCCTTAGGTCATTGAAGATGTGTTCCTGAAGAGAGCTGTAGGGCTTGGGTCATCTCTCTCTCTGTCTCTCTGTCTCTGTCTCTGTGTCTCTGTCTATCTGTCTGTCTCTCTCTCTCTTTTTCTCTCTCAACTTTCAAGCAACACTCCAACCATGCTCAAATAAATGTGCCTTCCAGGGCTGGGAAGGTGGCTCAGTGGTAGAGCGCTTGCTTTATATGCATGAGGCCCTGGGTTCGATTCCTCAGTACCACATAAGCAAAAAGAAAAAAGCTGGAAGTGGCATTGTGGCACAAGTAGTAGAGCGCTTGCCTTGAGCTGAGGAGCTGAGGGACAGTGCCCAGGCCCAGAGTTCAGGCCCCACGACCGGACCCAAAAAAAAAAAAAAAAATGTACCTTCCAATCTTGGACTTGACCATCTGGAACCATAAGCCAAAATACACCTCCCTTTACTTCCATAGTAGCCCATGTCAGGTAGTTCATTCTAGTAATTCAAAGGGACACACTGGCCCACCTGTAAGACACAGGCTGCAGTAGTCTGAAGCCAGCAACGTGGGGCAGTAAATTCAACAGGTATCAGCCTCTTCCCCTATATAGGAAACCCTGAGTCCACAACCTGACTAGCCATTACCCATCAATCTTTTTAAAAAGCTTGATCTTTAAGATCATGGCACCAGGAGAGGGGGGCAGTGGTACCATTCCTAAAGATGCAGGGATCAGCCTCTGTATTTACTAGCTTGTTAGCATACACTTGTGTAAGTAAACTTGAAGGCGCATAATGAACTCTCCTTGGGACCAGCTTCAGTCTCTGAAGAACTCAGCCCAAACTGATAAGATTCTTAGAGTAGCTGAGCAATGGTGGCTCACACCTATAATCCTATCTACTCAGGAGGCTGAGATCTGAGGATCACAATTCAAAGCCAGCCCATGCAGCAAAGTCCGGTAGACTCTTATCTCCAATAAACCACTAGAAAACGAGAAGTGGCACTGTGGCTCAAGTGGTAGAGCGCTTGCCTTGAGCTGAAGAGCTGAGAGAT